ATTTTTTATTTCAAGCAAATTTCTCGGTGTTGAATCGAATTGAATTATTAAGTGTTCACTTGAGAAGGAATGATTAGAATAGTAAATGATGATACGCTTGCGTGGGGTTGAAGACAATCAATGTTGGAGAGCACCAACAGACGGCAATATGCTTTCGAAGGAGGAAGATTATCTCGACAATGAGTATTACACTATGAATCTTCAATTTTTTCGTTTAATTGGATTATGCCAGAAGACTTCATCTAAGAAGATAATTCATATCTGTTTTATTAATTTCATGCTAGCTTTTGCAGTATTCGAACAGGTAATCATAGTTGAATTAATTTATATACATTTCGTTCCTGCAATTTTTGAATATAATGAATAATTCCCAGAATGGATTCAATATTTTGACATATAATTATATAAGTATAAATATTATTTTTCGTTTCTTCTTTTAGATTTATTCTCTCTTCATCTCTGAAAAAAAATTAATGTTGATCGCCAAATTACTGGAAACGACCTTGCCTATATTATGCCACGGATCATGTTATTGCAATCTATTGTTGAATGATAGAGTTGTCCGTTCAACATGAATACAAATTTTTCCTATTATTCTTTTTTTTCTTTTACTCTAAATAACATATGTTGCTGTCGTTATATTAATTAATTTCACCTAACTCTGTAAAAATTTCAGATGAAAAAAATTTTTTATCGTATCAAGTCCGATTGGGATGACCTAGCAAACAAACCAGAACTAGTGATATTGAAGAAATATGCTGAAATCAGTAGACTTTGTACATTAACAATCTCAAGTAAGTGAATACAACATATCCGGTATACCAGAATGATTAATAGAAATTTATTAATTAATTTTCATTAGTCCTTTTTCCCCTTACAGTCTCCTTTTGTCTTTATATTGTATTTTTGATATCTCCATCATTTTTAAGTGCATTTCGATACGTTTTTGGTGTTATAAATGAAACGGAATTAATATTACCAGTTCCTGTTGAATATTTCATGAAGAACCAAATGTTTTACTATATCGGGCTTACAACCGAATATGTAATTATATTAATCGCGGGTACGGTAGGAATTGCTAACTATTCCATGTTTGTAGTAGTTGTCCAGCATGCTTGTGCACTTCTTACAATTGTCCAGTAAGTAAATCAATTGCAACGATATTCGCATATTGCACGAGAAAAATTATTTTCTCTATTACTGTTTTTTGGAATTTATTATTTATTTATTTTAGATGGAGAGCAATTGAAGGATTTGTAAAGAATCAACAAAATTTCTATTATTCGAGTAATAAATGTGAATTAATCGATGAGAGAGAGAAGATAATACATATCATTAAATACTATAATAACGCGATCGAGTTTGTATCTTATTTTATGAGACGGACGTGTTCATTATTCAAAAAATTTACAACTTGCCCAATACTAATATTATATTATTTCTTTTTTTGATATCATTCAAGATTTATTGATTTATTGAAATCGTTTTACGAAACAATTCATTTCCTCGAAGAATTCTTTGGATTTATATATATTTTGGTAGATTATTTTTATGTAAATATTATTTGTAATTATATTTATGTACAAAAGAAAGATTTTTAATTTTGAAATATACAACACTTATCTAGAAAAGCCGTGAAATTTGTTTTTAGTTATTTCAGATAATTTCTTTAACTCTAAATATGACCGAAGGATTAACAAAGTTCCTGTATATTCTTGGATCTCTTTCTCTAATATATGCTTACGTTTATCTGGCACAAAATTTAATAAATCACAACCTCAACGTATTTACAATATTGTATGTGTTTCTATTTGGTCAAGGGTGATCCAATAATTTCATGCGGTTTCCACCTCATATTGAATGTATGTATATACAAATAATAAATATTTACAGAATACAATTGAAAATTCAAAAAATTTGAACTTTATCAGATTTGTGGAAATCGCACGAACTTAAGAACTAATCAGAAATTATTTTCTATTAACCGAATATATTAAAAAGTGTTATATAAGCGATATTAATTTTTTACAGCTGTCAAATCCCGTTTTATTCTTTATCTTTGAAGTCGCAAAATTTGTTACTATTTTTGATAATGAGAAGCATGAGGCCATGCAATTTATCGGTGATGGGTGCTATTGTTGTATCCAATGACCTTTTTGCAACGGTAAAATATTTTCTTATTATATATAACCGCTATATAACAATAATATGCAATATACTAATCGTAATCTTTTTTACTAGTTCATGAGTAAGTCATTTTCTTTTGCTATGGTATTGTATAGCTTGCAATGATTTTGATAATGAAAAATATAGTACAATAGTTAGTGTTTATGCATATCATTAAATTGGATTATTATTAGTTGTCTTATCCTTTTTCTACTTCCTTTTTTTTCTTCTTTTATCAATTATTACTCGTACAATTAAACACAATTTTTGAATCCTTTGTGAAGAAATATTCTATATTTTCTGTCTATTTAATATCTCTTAGATTAAGTAAATTTTATATAATTCATTTGTTATAACAATCATTCTTTGATAATTAAATATTTTCTGGATATATTTATGCATGATATTACAAAATAGTAATATCACGTATAAATATATCAGTCATAATATAATTTTCTGTTTATTCTATTGTGCATCAAACAACATATGTTTCATGTGATAGATAAATAACAATTTCATATTACAATTTCAAATGACTCACTCGGTAGATTAGTTCGAACGATACGAAAAATTGTACAGACGTGTATTTATATTTAAAGATTTTTTTTCTTTTTATCATCATTTGTTAAAATGAAAATATTTTATATATATGTATATGTATATAATAGCAGTTGAAATGAAAATATATCTTATGATAAATTTGTAATCCAATATTTTCATCGAACATCTTTTTCTAATTGCTATCAAAAAGAATTAAATAAAATAATATGAATTTTCCATATATAAAACTAATTCAATAATTTTTTCAAATTGTTCAATCATTATTCGTGGGTATACCGTAAAAATTGCATTTTTAAAAAATGTTTTTCCATTTAATTTTATAACGAAACGATGAATGTGTTAATTCCATAGAAAAAAAAAACGATATCATAATTTTTATTTTTAATATCTAATTATACGGAATAAAACAGGAAAAAAAATACGTAAGGAAATATTTTTCGAGATAAAAAAAAACAAAGAATGGTATGGATGTTCTTGAAGTCTCATTGAAAAAAAAAAAAAAATAAAAAAAATAATAACAATAGAAAGAAAAGAAATGTTTTTGAAAAAGAAAAAATTCGTTCAAATTATCAAAATGGGTTACATATCTATGCCCCTTGAAATAATGTAATTATTGTACGAATATTTGTCAAACATAAAATTGAAAAAATTACGCTTGCATCATTTATATCATAGAAAATGAAATAAATGGTTTGATTGAACGAAATTACTTACTTTACATGGATTCAAATTTGTCGAGGTACCATACGACGTCCTTGAGATTCGAGAGACGAAAGTAAACTTAGGTCGAAAGAGACGATGAATAAGGTTGTGTCCGTGATGCGCATGACCTTGAAATAAAAGGAATACAATCATTACAATTCCCATAAATAAAGTGAATGAGGGTGTTAAGAGAGTGAATTAAAACAGCGAAGAGAAGATGCAGGTGTTTTAATGGTCTTTGGATAAAAAGTGATGGATGCTGGTAAATATTAAAAAAAGAAAAATAACAATAAACAGGTAATAATTGTAATTACACGTATCCTTTTAAAATAAAATTTGAAAAATTTTTGAGAACAACTAATTTCTGATCTCTTCTGATGCAACATTTCAGGAATAATATAATTGAAATTATAGGAATTATTCTCTTAGGAATTTCTTCGATCAAATGATAAGTAATGTTTGTATGACATAAGCGACTCACCCTGTACATTTGTTTGCACGAAAGTTCGGACGGATATTTTTCACCATTGAACGATCTTTAATTATCGCATATATAAATGATAAAAAAATAATGCTAATGTTTTACTTAAGTACTAACTCGTAATAATAAGTACTAATTCTTTAATTGTAGAAAAAATATGTTGCATTTTCGAACTATGTAATTAGTATTTTTTTCTATTCTTTTTTTTTTCTTCTCTTTTTTTTGAAGGATAAGGAATATTTAAGATCTCTAAATGAAGAAAATATTTTCGAATGAATAATTCTAAACAGAAAGAAAATTGATTGCAGGAAATTATAGAAGAATTCAAACGGAGCATAAAAATAACAATTATATTAATAATAATAATAATAATAATAATGACAATAATAATATTAACAATAATAATAAAGATAATAAATAAGAAAATACTTTCGGAATATGTAGATTGAACATTACTGTTATTATAAAAAATATATAAAATATAGATAAGAATATTTATATTCATATCAATTCTGTTTTCAAAAAAATTCTCAAAATTGGATTAATACGATTTATTCTCCTGAATATATTATCGATCTAACAGAAAATAATATTAATCTAGTTCAAATGACTCACCCTGTACATTTGTATTTATGTACAAACGAAGACTAATCTAGATAGATATTAACACTTAACAAATATTTCATATCCACCTGTTAACATGCAAATGAAACCACTATGGCATAAATCCGTTAAGTACTTAAGCTTTACTTCGATGAAGAAAGCTATAGGTCTGTCAAGGTCGACGGACAGAAGGGAACTGCGTACGAATGAGGCGGTCCGAAAGGGTGGGTTCGCAACGCGCATGCTCCTGCGGGAGAAGGGTTAGAATACTTTGTAATGCAAAGAAGGGGTAAGTAAATGACATAATTGTTAGGAACAAAAACATATGTTAAATTGTAGTATCGATCGGCTAAAAAAGAAAGCTATATGAACTGCGAAATCACTTTACGGGAATATACTATTTTTTATTTCAAGCAAATTTCTCGGCGTTGAATCGAATTGAATTATTAAGTGTTCATTTGAGAAGGGATGATTAGAATAGTAAATGATGATACGCTTGCGTGGGGTTGAAGACAATCGATGTTGGAGAGCACCAACAGACGGCAACATGCTTTCGAATGAGGAAGATTATCTCGACAATGAGTATTACACTATGAATCTTCAATTTTTTCGTTTAATTGGATTATGCCAAAAGACTTCATCTAAGAAGATAATTCATATCTGTTTTATTAATTTCATGCTAGCTATTGCAGTATTCGAACAGGTAATCATAGTTGAATTAATTTATGTACATTTCGTTCCTGCAATTATTGAATATAATGTACAATTCAGAGAATGGATTCGATACTTTGACATATAATTATATAAGTATTATTTTTCGTTTCTTCTTTTAGATTTATTCTCTCTTCATCTCTGAAAAAAAATTAATATTGATCGCCAAATTACTGGAAACGATCTTGCCAATATTAAGCCACGGATCTTGTTATTGCAATCTATTGTTGAATGATAGAGTTGTCCGTTCTACATGAATACAAATTTTTCCTATTATTCTTTTTTTTCTTTTACTCTAAATAACATATGTTGCTGTCCTTTTATTAATTAATTTAACATAACTCTGTAATAATTTCAGATGAAGAAAATTCTTTATCGTATCAAGTCCGATTGGGATGACCTAGCGAACAAACCAGAACTAGTGATACTGAAGAAATATGCTGAAATTAGTAGACTTTGTACATTAACATTCGCAAGTAAGTGAATACAACATATCCGGTATACCAGAATGGTTAATAGAAATTTATTAATTAATTTTCATTAGTGCTTTTTTTCCTTACAGTCTTCATTTGTCTTTATATTGTATTTTTGATATCTCCATCATTTTTAAGTGCATTTCAATACGTTTTTGGTGTTATAAATGAAACGGAATTAATATTACCAGTTCCTGTTGACTACTTCATGAAAAACCAAATGTTTTACTACATCGTGCTTACAATCGAATATGTAATTATATTAATCGCGGGCACGGTAGGAATAGCTAACTATTCCATGTATATAGTAGTTGTCCAACATGCTTGTGCACTTCTTACCATCGTCCAGTAAATAAATCAATTGCAACGATATGCGCAAACTGCGCGAGAAAAATTATTTTTACTATTATTGTTTCTTGGAGTTTTTTATATTTTTATTTTAGATGGAGAGCAATTGAAAGATTTGTAAAGAATCAACAAAATAACTATTATTCAAGTAATAACAGTGAATTAACCGATGAGAGAGAGAAGATAATCCATATCATAAAATTCTATAATAAGGCGATCGAGTTTGTATCTTATTTTATGAGAAGGACGTGTTCATTATTCAAAGAATTTACAACTTGCGAAATACTAATATTATATTATTTCTCTTTTTGATATCATTCAAGATTTATTGATTTATTGAAATCGTTTTACGAAACAATTCATTTGTTCGAAGAATTCTTTGGATTTATATATATTTTGGTAGATTATTTTTATGTAAATATTATTTGTAATTATATTTATGTACAAAAGAAAGATTTTTAGTTTTGAAATATAAAACTCTTATCTAGAAAAGCCATGAAATTTGTTTATAGTTATTTCAGATAATTTCTTTAACTCTTAATTCGGCCGAAGGATTAACAAAGTTACTGTTTGTTCTTGGATCTCTTTCTCTAATATATGCTTACTTTTATCTGGCACAAAATTTAATAAATCACAACGTCAACGTATTTACAATATTGTATGTGTTTCTATTGGCCAAAAGTGATTTAATAATTTCATGCGGTTTCCACTTCATATTGATTATATATATGTATATATAATAAAATAAATATTACGGAATGTAAATGGAAGCTCAAATAATTTGAGCTTTATCATATTTGTCGAAATCGCACGAACTTAAGAACTATTCAGAAATTATTTCGTACTAACCGAATATGTTAACGTATGTTATATAAGCGATATTAATTTTTTCCAGCTGTGAGATTCCATTTTATTCGTTATCTTTAAAGACGCAAAATTTGTTACTCTTTTTGATAATGAGAAGCATGAGGCCTTGCAATCTATCGGTGAAGGGTGCTATTGTTGTATCCAATGACCATTTTGCAGCGGTAAAATATTTTCTTATTATATATAACCGCTATATTACAATTAAACGCAATATACTAATCGTAATCTTTTTTACTAGTTCATGCGTAAGGCATTTTCTTTTGCTATGGTATTGCATAGCTTGCAATGATTTTGATAGTAAAAAATATAGTACAATAGATAGTGTTTATGCTTATCATTAAATTGGATTATTATTATTTGTCTTATCCTTTTTCTGCTTCCTTTTTTTTCTTCTTTTACCAATTATTACTCGCACAATTAAACACAATTTTTGAATGCTTTGTGAGGAAATATTGTACCTCTTTCGATCTATTTAATATCCCTTAGATTAAGTAATTTTTATATAATTCATTTATGATAACATTCATTTGTTGATAATTAAATATTCTCTTGATACATTTATGCATAGTATTACAAAATAGTAATATCACCTATAAATATGTCAGTCATAATATAATTTTCTGTTTATTCTATTGTGCATCAAAAAACATACGTTTCATATGATGGATAAATAACATTTCCAAATTACAATTTCAAATGACTCACTCGGTGGATTAGTTCGAACGATACGAAAAATTGTACAGACGTGTATTTATATTTAAAGATTTTTTTTCTTTTTATCATCATTTGTTAAAATAAAAATATTTTATATATATGTATATGTATATAGTAGCAGATGATATGTAAATATATCTGATGATAAATTTGTAATCCAATATTTTCATCGAACATCTTTTTCTAATTGCTATCAAAAAGAATTAAATAAAATAATATGAATTTTCCATATATAAAACTAATTCAATAATTTTTTCAAATTGTTCAATCATTATTCGTGGGTATACCGTAAAAGTTGCATTTTTAGAAAATATTTGGAAAATTCTTGAGGGCAAGTAACTTTTGATCTCTTGTGTTACAGCTATTCTAAAATAAGTTATTGAAATTATAAGAATTATTCTCTTAGGAATTTGTTCAATCAAATGATAAGTAATGTTTGTATGACATAAGCGACTCACCCTGTACATTTGTTTGCACGAAAGTTCGGACGGATATTTTTCACCATTGAACGATCTTTAATTATCGCATTTATTAAAGAACAAATGAAAAAAATATAACGCTAGTGTTTTACTTAAATACTAACTCTTAATAATATGTACTAATTCTTTAATTGTAGAAAAAATATGTTGCATTTTCGAACTATGTAATTAGTATTTTTCTTTTCTGTTCTTTTTTTTCTCTTTTCTTTGAAAGATGACGAATGTCTGAGACCTCTAGATGAAGAAAATATTTTCGAATGAATAATTCTAAACAGAAAGCAAAATGATTGCAGCAAATTATAGAAGAATTCACACGGAGCATAATATTAACACTTATATTATAAATAACAATAATGACACAATAATAATAATAACAATAATAATAATGGTAATAAATAAGAAAATACTTTCCGAATATGAAGAATGAACATTACTATTATTATAAAAAATATAAAAAATAAAAACATGATAATTTATATACGTATCAATTCTGTTTTCAAAAAAATTCTCAAAATTGGATTAATACGAATTATTCTCCTGAATATATTATCGATTTAACAGAAAATAATATTAATCTAGTTCAAATGACTCACCCTGTACATTTGTATTTATGTACAAACGAAGACTAATTTAGATAGATATTAACACTTAACAAATATTTCATATCCACCTGTTAACATGCAAATGAAACCACTATGGCATAAATCCGTTAAGTACTTAAGCTTTACTTCGATGAAGAAAGCTATAGGTCTGTCAAGGTCGACGGACAGAAGGGAACTGCGTACGAATGAGGCGGTCCGAAAGGGTGGGTTCGCAACGCGCATGCTCTTGCGGGAGAAGGGTTAGAATACTTTGTAATGCAAAGAAGGGGTAAGTAAATGACATAATTGTTAGGAACAAAAACATATGTTAAATTGTAGTATCGATCGGCTAAAAAAGAAAGCTATATTAACTGCGAAATCACTTTACGGGAATATGCTATTTTTTATTTCAAGCAAATTTCTCGGTGTTGAATCGAATTGAATTATTAAGTGTTCACTTGAGAAGGAATGATTAGAATAGTAAATGATGATACGCTTGCGTGGGGTTGAAGACAATCGATGTTGGAGAGCACCAACAGACGGCAATATGCTTTCGAAGGAGGAAGATTATCTCGACAATGAGTATTACACTATGAATCTTCAATTTTTTCGTTTAATTGGATTATGCCAAAAGACTTCATCTAAGAAGATAATTCATATCTGTTTTATTAATTTCATGCTAGCTATTGCAGTATTCGAACAGGTAATCATAGTTGAATTAATTTATGTACATTTCGTTCCTGCAATTTTTGAATATAATGAATAATTCCCAGAATGGATTCAATATTTTGACATTAGATTATATAAGTTTAAATATTATTTTTCGTTTCTTCTTTTAGATTTATTCTCTCTTCATCTCTGAAAAAAAATTAATGTTGATCGCCAAATTACTGGAAACGATCTTGCCTATATTATGCCACGGATCTTGTTATTGCAATCTATTGTTGAATGATAGAGTTGTCCGTTCTACATGAATACAAATTTTTCCTATTATTCTTTTTTTTCTTTTACTCTAAATAACATATGTTGCTGTCGTTATATTAATTAATTTCACCTAACTCTGTAATAATTTCAGATGAAAAAAATTTTTTATCGTATCAAGTCCGATTGGGATGACCTAGCAAACAAACCAGAACTAGTGATATTGAAGAAATATGCTGAAATTAGTAGACTTTGTACAAGAACAATCGCAAGTAAGTGAATGCAACATATCCGGTATACCAGAATTTGTAATAAAAATTTATTAATTAATTTTCATTTTTGCTTTTTTCCTAACAGTCTCCTTTTATCTTTATATTGTATTTTTGATATCTCCATCATTGTTAACTGCATTTCGATACGTTTTTGGTGTTATAAATGCAACGGAACTAATATTACCAGTACCTGTTGACTATTTCATGAAAAACCAAATGTTTTACTACATCGTGCTTACAATCGAATATGTAATTATATTAATCGCAGGCACGGTAGGAATTGCTAGCTATTCCATGTTTATAGTAGTTATCCAGCATGCTTGTGCACTTCTTAGCATCGTCCAGTAAGTAAATCAATTGTAACGATATAAGCATACCGCACAAGAAAAATTATTTTCACGATTACTGTTTTCTGGAGTTTACTATTTATTTATTTTAGATGGAGAGTAATTCAAAGATTTGTGAACAATCAACAAAATTTCTATTATTCGAGTAATAAATGTGAATTAATCGATGAGAGAGAGAAGATAATACATATCATTAAATACTATAATAACGCGATCGAGTTTGTATCTTATTTTATGAGACGGACGTGTTCATTATTCAAAGAATTTACAACTTGCCCAATACTAATATTATATTATTTCTTTTTTTGATATCATTCAAGATTTATTGATTTATTGAAATCGTTTTACGAAACAATTCATTTGTTCGAAGAATTCTTTGGATTTATATATATTTTGGTAGATTATTTTTATGTAAATATTATTTGTAATTATATTTATGTACAAAAGAAAGATTTTTAGTTTTGAAATATAAAACTATTATCTAGAAGTGCCGTGAAATTTGTTTTTAGCTATTTCAGATAATTTCTTTAACTCTAAATTTGACCGAAGGATTAACAAAGTTCCTGTATGTTCTTGCATCTCTTTCTGTAATATATGCTTACGTTTATCTGGCACAAAATTTAATCAACCACAACGTCAACGTATTTAGAATATTGTATGTGTTTCTATTGGCCAATGGTGATTTAATAATTTCATGCGGTTTCGACTTCATATTGAATATATATATAATTAAATAAATATTACAGAATAGAAACTAAAGATTAAAAAATTTGAGATTTTTCATATCTATCGAAATCGCACGAACTTAAGAACATCAGAAATTATTTTCTATTAACCGAATATATTAAAAAGTGTTATATAAGCGATATTAATTTTTTACAGCTGTCAAATTCCGTTTTATTCTTTATCTTTGAAGTCGCAAAATTTGTTACTATTTTTGATAATGAGAAGCATGAGGCCATGCAATTTATCGGTGATGGGTGCTATTGTTGTATCCAATGACCTTTTTGCAACGGTAAAATATTTTCTTATTATATATAACCATTATATAACAATAATATATAATATACTATGCGTAGTCTTTTTTACTAGTTCATGCGTAAGGCATTTTCTTTTGCTATGGTATTGTATAGCTTGCAGTGATTATGATGTTGGTAAATATAATACGATAATTAGTGTTTATGCATATCATTAAATAGGATTATTTTTAATTGTCTTATCCTTTTCTTGCTTCAATTTTTTTCTTCTTTTAACAATTATTACTTGCACAATTAAACAGATTAAGTAAATTTTATATAATTCATTTGTGGTAACACACATTCTTTGATAATTAAACATTTTCTGGATATATTAATGCATGATATTACAAAATAGTAATATCACATATAAATATATCAGTCATAATATAATTTTCTGTTTATTCTATTGTTCATCAAACAACATATGTTTCATGTGATAGATAAATAACAATTTCATATTACAATTTCAAATGACTCACTCGGTAGATTAGTTCGAACGATACGAAAAATTGTTCAGACGTGTATTTATATTTAAAGATTTTTTTTCTTTTTATCATCATTTGTTAAAATAAAAATATTTCATATATATGTATATGTATATAGTAGCAGATGATATGTAAATATATCTGATGATAAATTTGTAATCCAATATATTCATCGAACATCTTTTTCTAATTGCTATAAAAAAAAAAAAAAACAAATAAAATAGTATGAATTTTTCGTATAGTTGCTCTAAAACTATTTCAAAAATTTTTTCGAATTGTTCAATCATTATTCGTGGACATACCATAAAGATTGCATTTTTTAAAAATGTTTTTCCATTTAATATAATAACGAAACGGGGAATTAATTCCTTAGATAAAAAACGATATCATAATTTTTATTTTTAATATCTAATTATACGGGATAAAACACGAAAAAAAATATGTAAGGAAATCTTTTTTCAAAGAAAAAAA